CCGGCCTCTCTTAATCTGTACACATGTAAGCTGGCCAGGCTGCACCACAAATCCCTCACTGTCCCTCCTTTCACAGATAAAAGATGCAGATTGCTTTGCACTATTCATTTTTTGCGACTCAAAGGGACATCTCACTTCAGCTGCTGTTCCTCTGAAATCTTTCAACTGTTTTATTTTGGTTTCTACAAAAGACCAATCAGGACTTTTTATAGGTCCTCATTTGACGCCTGGCATCTTCAAAATGCTTCAAATCTCTGTGCACCTGTATCAAAATAGCTCTGTTTTTACTTAGCACTCTAAAGAAAGAAACCTATTTTCTTGGTTTTGTTTTGGAGTGTAGACATCATGTTCGCGAGCCGTGGTGGGACAGGTGGAGGAGGTAAAGGTGGAAAGTACTCAGTGGAGGACCTGTATGGCATCAGCAAGAAGCCCAAAGCCTCCTCTTCTTCAGGGAGTATTGTGGCCAAGGCCCGCAGTAGCAAACCACAGGAGCACAGACATGAGGAGGCCTTGGCATCTCAGATCCTGGAGGCGGCTCACAGACTGGTGGAGCGCAGACGGTTGGAGCTCTACCTACGTGAGTGTGGCCTGTCCCTGGCCGAGTGTGAAGCCCAGCGCTCTGCTATGGTCTACAGGTGAGAGACACAAACAGAGGAGATTACCTTAAAAAGTAACTATTTCCATTGTAGAAGCATTTTTTTGTAACTTATGTCTTCTACTGTCATGTTTTTATTTTTAATGACTAAACAAATCCAACATTTGAAAGTTGATCATCTAACAGTATACATTACATAATAGCAGCAGTTGTCACAGGCACAGCAGATTCAGATTCTAGTGTTGTTTTTGACTCTAGTCTCTGTAAATATGCAGTCATCTTATATTGCTGCATGGATAGGGTTACTGTATTATAAACCGGGCAAAATTATTATTAATATTAATAATTTTCTAAATCTGAAATCTGCATTATTATGTCTTGATTTTTCTATCCTATGGTGGCAATGATTTGCTTTACTTGCTGCCCTTTACAATATAAATAGTCCTCTCTAGATGGCAGTGTAGCACCAGAAAATATTGATTCAAATATATGCACTTTTTTCATCCCCTAAAGCTGCCCAGTGTACTGTACAACCCCCACCAACTTAATATAGCAGTATACATTATACCATTATACCATGATACTATATCTTTATGTAGTGACACATGCATCTGGCTTTAGATTACAATACGTATCTATCCCTTAGCGCCAGTGATTTCCACACTATTTTGGTACTGACATTTTGAGATATATTATGATGTGTGGTATCAGTTTGACTAGAATTCTCAATATTTTGACAAGAGATTCTTGATTTGTTTGTGGAATAAACGGACACTTAAAGCATTTCATGACTTTTTTAGACTGTTTTGACAAACTTAATGCGGCATAATTTTTAGACATACCAAAGCTTTAGAAGAACAAGATGTCTGACAAAGAACTTCAAAGTTGCAGTTTTCAGAGAAGATAAATTTAGCCGTTAGCCCTCCCAAAGCTATGCACATTTGATGCAGAGGCGAGACACAAACAATCGTCTTGGCTGCTCCAGAGTGCAAAGCAGCTGTCATCTCCAGTGCTCCCAGCGAAAAGGGACAATGTGACAGATGTGTTTGTTCTGCAGCTTGAGTCGCATTAGCTTAACCTCAGTGGACTTTTACATGACATCTCAGAGAAGACAGGGCAGGGCATCTGATACACAAGGATGGAGAAGATAGAGTGGTACCAAAAACTGGAAGTTGGAATCTGTTTATTGACTTAGAGTCTTATCACTAATTCTGTCTAGCAGTATTGCTAAAGTTTTTTTTTTCTTATACATCTATTAAAATTACCAAGTTAATAAGTGGCCTAACTTTTCTTGAAACTTAGTCCTATCTCTATGTATTGTTCTAAACCTTGTGTTTTTTCTGTTTTTAGTCAGTTTAGTAATATACTATAGGCATTTAGTTAGATGCTGGTGACCTTCTGTGTATATTGATCTGTGAATACAAACCTGCCTCCTTGGGTGCGGCACTCCACTGATATTTGCTCATTTTGGTGAGATTAAAAGGTCCACATCTAAAACTAATTTAAAAAGAAGGCTACCTCGTACAATCCAACATTATTAACATATATTGAACATTTGCCACCAAGTAGTTAGCATTAATACTGTATGACTCAATGTTCAATAACGCTCCCGGGTGACCTCACTGTGAGAGAGCCATGTGGGTGCTGACTATGTTTTAACAGGACAGAAGATCATTGAATCCTCTCCTCTTTTCAAATGTCACTGCGGATGGCATGCACTTTGGTCTGTCTCTGTACAGATGGAAACTTTGCCATCCCAACTTGCTCTAAATGGCTCCTAAAAAGTGCTGATTGCCTGACACACTTTGCTGCCTGTGCTTTCCCTATGTGGAGGAGGCAAATTTTTTTCCCTGTGGAGAACAGATTATTGACAGCAATGAAAAAAGGTGTGCGCTGTGCTCATCTGCAGGAGGCTTTCCTGAGTGAGGCATTTTATTGTCATTTTTCTATAAGGTCTGTACCTACCCATATAGACTTAATCTGTGCAGCTGACAAGGGAGGGCAAAGGGGTATGATATCTGGAGGATAACAGGATTTTAAGAGCCCCATGTGGCCTATGTGAGGCTTCTTGTCTTGGGCTTCCATAATTCTTCTAAAATGTTACTGACCTATAATTTAGGCTACACTTTAACACTGGATATCGAAAAAAATGTTGTACTGTAGCAACATCATGTACCTTCTGGAGGTGGCACGTTACCTAGATGATTCCATAGAAATAGAGAGAACATTCTCCATGGGGAGATTGACTGATATAGTTTTTTTTTTCACGGCAGAAGCTGATACTGATTGTTTATAATCCAGAGAAATCATTTGCCGATAAGGTATGCCGATATTTTTGAAAATAACTGTCAGTAATTTTTATCAAAAACTTATAAGAGAGCAGTTTAGTTATTATGAAGCATTCAAATAAATGCAGCAGCTTGGCCAAAAGAAAATATCTTGTGCTGCAGATTTAAGGTTGATACATTACACTACATTCACAAGTGCAAATATCATTCAACCAATATCAAGATCAGTCTATCTCAAGGAAATACTGTCAAATATTATTATTAATATTATTATATTTCCATGGAGACAAGGGGGCCCTCCTCCAGGCCAAGTAAGTCAGGTTTGTGGAGATGCAAACTTGGGGATCTCAAATGAATATCTTGATTAAAATAGGCTATAAGAATAAACAGAAACAAAGTTTAGTTCAAGCAGGTGTAGCAGGCCTATTAACCTTAAAAGTGTTTATAAACCATGAATGACACACAGCAGCCTCAGCTATTTTAATTGTAGCCTATGCCTTGCTGAAGATTGGTTTGGGATCTGTTTTTGAACCTAGGATAAATATTTGCCTCTTCAAGTTTCAAATGTCACATCATGTCACTCCAAACGTGACTTGACGTGAAGCTTTGGTCATGATACAATGTGCCTGCATATGTGATGTGATGAAGTGAGACTGCCACTATAATGCCAATACTTTGTGTACAATTTCTGTGCGTAGTGGGTGTGGTATCTAGTGGACCCCGTGTGGGTAAGCAGGGGGGTTCTATCTGAAGAAAATTACTACATTTTTAAACCATTTGGGCTAATCACTGTAGAGGCCAGGGAAATATATTAGATTTTCTTCACGCCTTTACTATGGATCCATGAAGGTTTTGTGTGATTTATGCCGCTGGTTTCTCAAAAGAAAACACTGCTGATAAAATATGATGGAAGTGCTCACACCCCACCGAGAGAGAGAGAGAGAGAGAGAAAGAGAGAGAGAGAGAAAGAGAGAGAGAAAGAGAGAGACAGAGAGACAGAGGGGAGGGGAAGCCAGCGCACCGCAAACCCCCACATACGTAGCTCGTGTGTTGTGAATATATGGGAGGAAAAAACATTAAAGGTAAGAGAAAAAAGCGAAAGTGTTACCATGAAGCTCAAAGGCGGTAAATTGACGTTTAGAATGATGCGATGTTTGCTGCGGATCCCGTTTTGAGCCAGGATGCCGGTGTTTTTTTCCCAAATCACCGTGTGCACCGTGAGATTTTTTTGGGCGAATACTGGGACACCTGCACAGACGCTCTTAGCCCACTGCTGCCGGTAGGCGAACCCGTCGTACTGCCTTTGAAGGTAACGAGTGTTAAGTGAAATCAGGCTTTTTTCCCTTTCATCTTTCATCCTCTTATTGTATCTGACGCTGCGTAAAGGCTGGGCGATGCATCCATTGGCTTTCCCTCTGTGATTTCTGCCTCACATCAGCTTCATCATAGACTTGTTCTGCTGGTGTTGAGTGAACTGTTTTGCTGTATGCCAGACAACATGCCTTCTCGTTTGTGCCGGGGGTGCAGGGATGCCAGTGGCCGACGTGGTTGTGTCATTACTGCAGTGCACTCTGGAGCTTTTAGACAGTGCACAGACACTAGCTGAAGAGGAGACAGCGAGCCGGCAAGTGCTGGACCAGCCAACCTAAGTCATAGGAACCAGTGATGAATTTGGAGACAGAGGCCAATCTTATGAAAACTGGGAATTCCATTGCACTATAATGTAAAAAAGGTTTGGGGGTTTTCCCTTTTCAGCATATCCCCAAAATCCATCTGTCAGAGGGGCTGCTGAGAGCTTACAAGCCTCCTAGTGTTTTTTGGAGGGCTGCCCCCATGCATCTTGTGAGTGTGAAAAGTCCCATCATCCTTTGCCAGCTTTGCATCAGCAGACAGGAGCAGACGGTAGCGCTGTGTGTGTCATGTTAGACTGGACACTTGCCTGCCCCTTTTCCAAAACTGCCCATTGACCTCCAGACAAAATCTCTGACCAGAACACTTGTATCTGAATGCTGTGGCAAATAACAAGGAAAAACTGTCTGACAACTTCAGGACAAACATTTTAAGAGACTCAAAATTACAGAGATCAAACACCCTAGAGAAAGGACAACAGGGTCAGGATGCAGGTCTCATTCGCCTGCACAGAGCACAACCTCAAAAGTCGAAGTGAGGATCGACTTTGTGGCCTTCGCACCGCCCCACCACCAGGAGGCAGCAGTGGAGGGGTGGGGGGCAGCAGTGGGGGAGGAGGGGGAGGAGGGGGCAGTGGAGGTGGAGGAGGAGGTGGGGGCAGTGGTGGAGGATCTGGAGGGAGCGGACAGGGGAGCAATGGGAACTACATCTCCCAGGGGTCTGTGAAGATCAAAGAGGCCCCAGCATCAAGGCAAGCCCCCCAGGGACACGCCCACATGAAGGAAGCCATAGGAAGACACACCACCATGAAGTACAGGTGAGTATGTGCAGCTCTGGGTAATGTAAGGTGACTGCGACACTGCATCTGCTCCTCACATGTGTGTGTGTGAATGTCCAATTGAAAAAAAAAAAAAAAAGCACACAAGAGTAACTGGCTCAAACTGAATTGTAGCTCTGGGACCACCTGTCCCTTTTTTGGTCCCTGTGTAGCCATTTAGACCCTGTCCACTAATACAGCCACTAGTTTAGAGGTTTAGAGGGTGTCCCACTTTTAATATGCCCCAAATTTAATGCTGCCTATTCCAATCAAATTGAAATCATAGTGTTATAGCACGTTTTATTTAAGCTTAATTTTAGAATAGAATAGAATTAGAAACCCTTTACTGTCATTATACAGTATAATGAAATTCAAAGCTGCTCCATCAAGGTGCAAGAATTAAACAAAATAAATAAAAGAGTTCTCATTCAGTATGGTGACAGCTTTGGGGAAGAAGCTGTCCCTGAGTCTGTTGGTCCTAACTGGAATTAACCTGAAGCGCCTGCCAGAAGGCAACAGGTTGAACAGATGGAATCCAGGGTGTGTATTGTCTTTAATTAAACAAAACGTTTCTGCAAAACAAATTTTCAACACAATATTCAACACCTTGTTCAACTTTTACAACATTTGAAGTGCTTATATAGCTCCACAATATTACATTATTTTATTATTGCAGAATATATATGTATATTTTGTTTTACTGACATAATAAAATACAGTTCATCATTCTCCTCACAATCCAGAATGAGATAGGCTTCCATCCATCCAACCTCTACAGAGAATAGAAGTGGAGGAAGGAGTCCTGGTTTAGACCATTGCCCCAGTTTTAATCTTACATCAGAGCAGTTAAAAGTTGTTAAAGTTAAGGCCACGGGACCATACAACTCTTTTAAGATAATAGTTGCAATCTCTGACCCTGTAGGGAATTTGGTCTTATGAATTTGTCCCATCTTTGCTCTTTAGTTTTTATCCAGGGCTGAGCAGAGGTTTATATTTTCTTGAATGTAAGTTCAAGTTAAACTATGGCTTGGAATGTTAATTTTAGGTCGGTATAACTCAATGCAATTGGTGTAATTGATGTTATATTGGTAGAATTATTACTTACTTACATTTTCAATAAAAATTCTTACAGTTGGGCCATTCAACAGGAGGCCTGAAGGCAAAAAAATTAAAATTGTCAGAGGAATGCATTTGGCATGTTAGTTATTTATGTATTTTTTCAAAACAGATACTTGAAAGAAAATACAAAAGTCAGATATGGAGGATCAGTAAAGTATTGATGTTAAAGCTTTCAGAGTAAGACCCATGAGGAGATGATGGATGTAGTAAAAGGATAGAAGAAATGAATTTAGTTGTTGTGTAAGAAGAGAGGGCAAAGGATTGAGTGGGGTTCCCAGTCGCAGATTTGGGGTTGCTGGAATGTACCACACAGTGTCATCTGCGGATGCCCTGGTGATTCTAAAATATACATTTGATTTTGTAGTGTCCCATTGTGAAGTGGGTGTAGAGACCCAAAGGTGAAAGGTTAATTGTAAGTGAGGACATAGTAAAGAGGTCTGAAACTGAGATGGTTTGCATTTCAGATTGATTGTGCCGACCTTCTGACCTAAGATAATCTCTTAGGTTCTAAATCTACACCATGAGCATTACTTGCCAATCCTGCATGAGTAACAAGGTCACAGGTGATGGTGTTTATAGATGTGTCTGTGAGTGCACATGGTTGTATTATGAACACTTATTTGATTACACAATGGAGGTAGTAGAGAAATAGAGATAGTCGAGAGGCTGCATTGGTAAAGCAAGGATCCAAGAGACCTTCTTTATCTCACAGTCACAGAACAAAATTTGTTATGTCAAATCAAAAAATGTTCCAAAAACTACCTCCATCTTAAAAAACACTTAAAATAGGATATTTATGCATATTTTTACTCTAAACATGCTTTTTTATTACAAAAATGTTGTCATAAGTAACATATCTTGTGGACACACATTTGGTAATTTGTTCTCATTTATGACTATTTGTGAGACTGAGTTAAGTTGGCCTGTCAGCCGCCTACATTGAGCGCTTCATCTACATTACAATACAATTACCTCAGCAAACCTACAGTCATTTTTCTGCACTAAAAATGGTTACCTTCACAGGAGTAGCAGAGCTTATATTATGTACAGCAAAGCAGCATATTGTTATGGGCGATAACAGACAGTACAGTATGTACAGTCGAAGCCCCTGAGTCTGACTGTGGTGTATGAGGTTAATGGAGATGGGCCCTGGCCTTGACCACTCGTTAACAAAACGCATGTCCACAATACCACTGCTCTAGTCAACACAGGAGTCCAGTTTTACGGGTCATATTTATAAAAGTTAAGTACATTAATATAACCCCAGAGGAGAAAATGTCACAAAACAAAATGTTCTTGATGCAGCCTTTTAGAAATGTTCAAAGATACAACTATTCTTCAGGCATCCTGACAGCTTCTTCTGTCGCCAGCAAAATGTTCTTTGAAATCTAAAATAATAGTATCTCTGAGGACACTGAGTCTCTTGTGAATCAGGTAGATTGAGATCTCATTTTTCCATTAATAAGCGTTTAAAAAAGGAAGGAGCCATAAGGCAAACCCAGATTCTGCTCACAGTTTTCATTAATTGCACACACAGTGTACTTGTGAGTGTGCTGCACTAAGCTGCTTTCACTGCTGCTGTCACAGGGAAGTGTCACTAATAGAGAGGGCTGCGGCTCAATAAGTCTATCCAGCATATGGCCAGCTGCAGTTGCCCATGGCAACACCCAGAGCATTGCCTTTATTTTTTGTGTGTTGTTCTTTCCAATCAGTGCTGATCGTATGTCTGCTCCGTCAGGAGGCTGTGCAGGTCCAACAGCCAAACCCACAGTCACTCTGTTACACTGGTGTCACTGACGAACTGGACAGGAACAAGCAGCACCCGTCTGCTCATTGCACCTCCTGCTCTCTGCTATCACATAGTCGCCATGCTCTAAAAATACGGTCAATACAATCTTATCTGTATAAAGGTTCAATTTCAAAATCCAGAAGAATAAATACAGTATCCGTGAAAAAATAATCACATATTTAATCAAAATGCAGAGAACCCTGTAGTCAAAGTTGAAGTTCTGTAATATTTTATTTGAAAATTAAATACATTAAAATATGAATTTGACCTGTAGGAATAAGGACATTATATTTGTTACAGGAGTGACAGTTCACATTTATAATGCACTTATAAACTTGACAAGCTTCTCAGCATGCTTTACTCTGGTTCATTATTCATTCACTATCCACAGAGGTGATAGGCTACTCTTGTTGCCACAGCCATTGCCAATCAAGACAAAGATGATTGAGAGCCCCAGGACATAATGATAGTTTGAGGCGCCGAGTGCGATACTCAAATGGTCAACCCTCCAGTTAAATGTATTTGATATTGGTAAAAGTGTTTCACTGGTCTAAATACTTTCAGATTGATATTGGCTTCCGTTTGGCAGCCAAAACATCTTGAGCACTGTCCAGAAGACTCCCTTTTCTAAACCTTGTCTACGATGGACCACTTTTGGATGAGTGAGGGATTACACTGACTAGCATTTAGCATTGAATAAAAATGTCACTGTCTCTCCCGTGGGGTTAATTTTCTGAGGGGCTCACTGTAGCTGTTTGCTCTGTTTGACGACATGTTTCTGGTGTTTCACGCTGGGCCATTAACCTGAGGATTCATCAGCCTCTGACGGGTCACACACCAGAGCATCTGCTGCCACTTAGCACTCCTGTAAGCCCCTGCTGTCGCACCGGCGCTCTCTGCTCCACTTTCACTCAGCACAATCTTTTAGATTCATTTCATTTCAAACATAAACCTTTCATATGCGTTATCTTTAAACCGGAAGCCTGGGAGAACAAAAGAAGTTGCAGTGTCAGGTTAGTGTAATAGTAATGGAGATTAAACACTACTTGAGTTAGTGCCCACACAAAGGTTTTCTGACACTAGTCTTGGACATATTTATTGTTGACCCAGCACAGTTAAAGGAATGCAAGATTTTGATTTAAAATTTCATAAGCCTATCTATGTCCCCAGATATTAGTTAAATTAAAGATGTTCAAATATAATTCATAATGTTAACAGTTGTAATGATAATCACAAAAACATTAGATGGGATGTTTTGTTTATTTATGTTATAGTTTTGTGTTTTGAATCTTAAGATGATTATCCAGTCAGAAAGCAGAATTAGTGTCACAGGAGTTTCTCATCTGGGTTGCCAGTTTCAATTCTGATATCCAGTTAGTTTCTAACTAAAATGACTCTGATTTGAATCCTCAATACCTCCATCTGTAGACAGATTCAGGGGTTCAGACAAGTTCAGTTATAATGTCTTTTTAATTGGAGAGTGCAGGCTACATACAGTTCATTTAAAAGTTGTTTCTCTGAATGTTGCTAATTGCTGTACAAAACATGGTGGATTTTGTGTTTGTGACACATGTGACACTTCTTTTGCAAACAAACTGTGCAGTCTTTCAGCCTGCAAAAATAGAAAAAATAGACTAGCCTGGTTGTTAGAGATAATTATACAATGAGTTCTATATCATTTTCAAATTAAATAAGTCCATCTCTTGCTTTGTCTACGACTCAGTGACTGGGTTTGAAAACAATAATTACAGACCTATTTTGGGACACTTGGAGGGGCAAATGTCACATGGGCTGAAATTATGTCACTCTGTTACTATGGTAACAAGACTCTTTCTCAAACAGCAGCCAGGAAACAGGTCAGGTGTGTAGTCTGTGTTTGTTGATCTGGATTTTTAGGACTAAGCTTAGCCTTGGCATCCCTACTCTAATGAAACAACTAGTTTCTTAAATGTATGTATATGTGCTGATTTAGACATGTAGAAAATAGCAGTATTTTGGTGCCCTTCAACATTTTTGCAGCCGTCAACTTGTCCCAAATGTAACCTCTCTTGCTCCGAAAATAGGGCATCCTTAATATTTTAGCTCTCCAATC